TGATTCACTGGTGTGCTCTTGACCTGGACCACCAAAATTGATAATCCAAAATGAAACAAAGAACTAGTGTCTAATTGATTTAACAAGTTCTTTTAATGCATTTAGCACTGTAATTTAACCTTTGTCTGTAGGCTTGGTTGCGGTTTTTGAGACACACGATGACTTTGCAAGAGTTTGAATTTTGGTTGTTGGATGCCAATTAGAATTGTCATTATATTTTTATGATTGAAGTTGTTTAACTTTCTTTTCTGTTTTTCGAAAAGCTGCAAGTTTCTATTCTCAGAATCCTTAGTTTTCTACCTGCTACTTCTATAATCTATTTGAAAGCCGTCCCCGTACCAGACATGTACCCTTACCTATAGCCATACCTAAATTTCTTGGACACTTCTTGAATATGCATATCTTAATTATATAGTACATGTTTTAATTTGAAACACTCCTCATACGCTATTTGGATTATATGTCAAGTTGTCAACATCTCTTCTCTATATACATGTACACAAATACCACATGAGTAATTATTGAAATGTCCTTAGTATTGCTACTTCTGACTTCTCAATGTTCAGAGACAAAATTTGTTCTTATTGTCAACCCCTTTTATACCATGTAACATCCAAACTTGCATAGCGCATGCCCATGGCCATACAACCAACCAAATAATCTTAAGGTTCCCAATGAAAGATTGTCTGTTTCTGTTTGTGGATTATCTTTTTCTGTTAGTCTTGTGACATCAATCTTATGAATGATGCCAAATTCATGGTTCATGGAACCGTGGTAGGATAGGCATAAGATAAAAAGTTCAAGTTGTTATCAGGGAGATCTTCCCGATATCCATAGTACAATTCTCATGAAACCTAATGGCATCACATAAAATCTTTCGACTTCAAGTAAAAGATGGAATTTGTTAAGGTCATAGTTGATATACAAATTCATGACTCTCCTATAGTCCACAAGGAGTGAATATGATATCTGTCCTATTTTAAGACTCGATCTATAAACTGTTTGATTGGGGAGGTAATGCTGATTACATCTCTTTTTGCAGGTTAAGCAGGATGGTTTTTTCCCTGCGGATTTGTTGTTCCTTGCAAGTTCAAATCCTGATGGTGTCTGTTATATTGAGGTTTACTAGAAAATGTTAAGATTGAAATCTATGTGGAAAAACAATTTCTCTGGTGTTTAAATTTTATTATTGATTTCAAAGTTTTCACTGTAGACTGCAAACCTTGATGGGGAGACAAATTTGAAGATCAGAAAAGCACTGGAGAGAACATGGGATTACCTTCTTCCTGAGAAAGCTGCTGAATTCAAAGGTTATTATAGTGATTCTTGCACCTATGTTAAATCTCATGTGAACTGGAATTCAACTCACCTTAGTTTTTGAGAGTACGGTTAACTTACATTATAAAGTTTCGACAACATTCATAAGGGAGAAAGCTGAAATGTTATTTACTTATTTATTCATTTTTTATAATTTTGTTTTTCAAAATTTAGTCACCAATGTTATTTACTCCTCGTTTGGTATGCAAGAATCGAGTCAAGTGAGAATGTAACAAAATAAGAAATGGAATCAGTGTGAGAATGGAATGCTCATTCCCATCCTCATGTTTGGGTGTGATTAGAGAATGAAGTGGGAACGACAATATTTTTTATTTTTGGTATGCGTAATTAGTAAGCAATCAAGGCATATTTGGAATTTGGTTCAATTTTTTGATTCCCAAGTAAGTGGGAATCTCCATTCCGTACCATCTCATTGGGAATGCTTATTCTCATATAAAGTGGGATTGTGCATTCTAGCTTCCTAAAAGAAGTTGTGTTTAGTGCCACATGAAAGAGAAGTTGGAATGGGCATTCCATTCACACCCATTCCTGCGTACGAAACAAGGCTTGGGTTTTGATGAAAGGAATACTTATATGCACATTTGATGTGTTAGTCTAATAATGTCTGCCAGGAATCGTCGATCGTTTTTGGAGCGCTTCTGATCTTGCATCTTTAGCCCTTGAGTTCTTTTTTATTTTTCTTGAGTTTCGATGTTCACGTGCAGGTGAAATACAGTGTGAACAGCCAAACAACTCTCTGTACACTTTTACTGGAAACCTTATCATTCAAAAGCAGACATTACCTCTATCTCCAAACCAGTTATTGCTAAGAGTGAGGCCTTGTTCCTTTTTTTTTCTATGTAGCTGTAAGATAGCATAGGTTCTCTTTTACATGTTGGTTTGCTGCTAAGTGGTTTTATTAATTCAATAAGTATGTGGTTGTTTAACTGTATCTGTTTGTATGCTATGTTATTATATGCAGGGGGAAAAAATATTTCCTTACCAACTGTTTGTAACGGATTTCCCATTCTTTTGAAAGCCCATGCGGCACATAGTTCTGAAAATACTTAAAAGCTCAGTGGAGTCAATACCCATTCTCACCCATGTCTGCTAAACTATATGATACAATATTAAAAAACCCGAAAAGCCAAGAATATCCCTTGACGTTGACAAATTATTTCTGTCAGGATTGTGCGGTTTTTTCCCCCCTATAGGGAAGCAGCAAATGATGTGGCTTAGAGAGACAAAAATGTATTCTCTCATGTTTGTGTCTCGCTTGTGCAGCTCTCTCACCATTCTTTATTTGTCTCAGCTTCCTCATTCTCTATTTCTATCAATCTCTCGCATTATTTCATCTCTCTTTCTCCTCCCACTTGAAGATCTTTCCTTCATTGGGCATCTAAGCAGCACTGAGCAATAAGCAAACACGTGCATGTACGATATTCAAATATCAAAAGAAACATTTACCTTGGAATTATCATGCAGAATTTCCAGCGACAAATATTTGGCCTTCTAGAAAGCAGACAATATTCCATTACTTTGTCCCCAATAACTATTTCATTTCAGAACACACTAATAACAAGCATATGATGCAGCAAACATGACCATTATATCTTATGTATTCAAGTAAATTGAAATTTAATTATTAGGTTAAAGCACCCTTCAGATTTTAAAAGAAATCACAAACAAATGGCACTTCCTGTTCCCCAATTCTGATGCAGGTCACCTTTGCAGCTGGAAACAAATTACAAATAAAGACCTAAGCTGAGAAGCAATTTCAGTTCTGACATTAAAATGCGGAACCATAATATCTGCCTCTCATGTGCTTTTTTTCTGTCCCTACCACAACTTTCTCCAAAGGGCTACCGATAAACTTGTCATTGCAATTGGCTGCGGATGCTCTTTATTGCTCAACTGCTCACCATAGAGAGAATTCTGAGTTATTTTGTTGGCGATTCAATATATAAGCTTTAGTTTGTGGCATTTTGCCTGTGTTCCTCAAGTGTTGCTAGTTTTCTTTGATATATTTGTACACTTTTTCTACTTGCAATTGTTCTGTGGAAGGGAATTAATCAGGAGCAGCTCTCAAGTGCTCCTCTAACACTAGCCTGGAGACACTAATTGTTTCATTTTGTAAATAAAAATAAATTTTATCGATGAAATAGAGAACAGTCTAATCAAGTATGGAATATAACTCTAAACGACGCATACTTATGTTATGTTTAATAGCACATATCCAACATATCCAGCATGCATATTAATTTCATGTAGTTAGGTTGTATAATTTTTATGGCAATGATAGCATTTATTATCACATCTTGAAACAGATAAATATAGCATGACTTATTGCATAGCAGCATGCTGTACCTTCACATATAATATAAGGATAGCATGCTGTAGTTTAACATAATTGTACTGCAAGGAGAAACAATTGAAACATCAAATGTTCTGGTTTCAGGAAAAGGCAGTCTGATGTAGAGTTGCTCAGATCTATATGCACAGAATTTCTATAATATAAAATATGATATAGCTTTACTCCTTGTTTTCAGAGTATGCTAATAAGATAAAAGCTATCTGCGACTTATATGCATTAATGTGTATTGGCTCTTAACTTCATTAATATTATCATGTAGTTAGGACTATCTCGTAGCCCATTGCTCCGTGATATGATTATTCATCAACTTTTTGATTTTCGAGAAAAATCAGATGTAGTTTCTATACCATACCGCTTCAACCGAATCTGAGATTTAATTTTTTAATGTTATCTCATAACCTATCAGCATATTGTATATCTCAGGCAGTGATTGTGTTCTCTAGATGTTAAAGTGACAACTTATCAAAGTATTATATATATATACATATATATATTGTTATATATATATATATGTATATATATATATGCATTATATATATATATATATATATATATATATATTATATATATATATATTATAATATATATATATGTACATATATTACATATACATATACATATACATATACATATATATATATATTATAATATATATATATATATATATATATGTATATATATATATATATATATGTATATATATATATATATATTATATATAATATATTATATATATATATATATATATATATATATATATGTTATTAGTGAAATGTTGCTAAGTATTCCATGCTACTTGCTAAGAAATATGTCTTTTATCGGGTGAATTGATGAGTTCTGGTGCATGATGCAGCAAGATTCTTCGGTGATGTAACAAACACATGCCTTTGATAGGGAGTTCTATGAACAAAACAATATATGTAAGGTCCATACGTTTACAGTTGGGCAGTCATGTGCTAGCAGTCAGGTCGATAGCAACCTCTATTGCTGGCTTAGTTTGGTAGGGGATCAGTTACTTTTTTGTGCATACAGTCATGAGAATTGTAGTTGTTAGAAGGATTGTAAGATGATTCTTTTGAAGCTCCATATGTATTGTTCCAGAACTCCTTTTTATTAACTAGGTGGTTCGTACAAACTTGTCATTCGTGATGGCCATGTTGTAAACTGCGTTCTTTTTGTTATTAGTTCAGATAGTTGTGTTCTTGATGTGATTTGACTTATCCTTTTGAATGTTTCAGAAGATTTTTATAGACTACATGCTGCTGTTAGTCTGGAATTATCAGTCTTTCCATTAAATTGTATCGACCTATTATCTCAATACTATTAATCATGCAGGGGTGTAGCCTTCGGAATACTGATTACATTGTTGGGGCCATCATATTTACAGGGCATGAAACAAAAGTGCGTTTCTTCTTTGGAATGCGAAGGCAACAATATATTCCTTTATTTACTAGGGCTTGTGTGTTTTTGTATGTTTGCTGCTTATGTTCTTCACCCATTTTACCACAGGTTATGATGAACTCAATGAACGTTCCTTCTAAAAGAAGTACGTTGGAGAGGAAACTTGATAAACTTATACTGGCGCTATTTGGGTTTCTCTTTTTCATGTGCGTTCTTGGATCCATAGGGAGGTAATACACCCATCTTGATAAACTTGATAAACTTATACTGGCGTTATTTGGGTTTCTCTTTTTCATGTGCGTTCTTGGATCCATAGGGAGCTAACATTTTGCAAGGTTTTGTCTAAAATCTGCTTGTTTAGTTTTCTCTAGTTGACTTCTACTTCAATTTGATAGACTTCAAGATCTGGTTTACATTAACACTGGTGATTCTTGAACACAGTACTAGAAGTTGTGAGCATGGTGGAGGATGCTTCTACCATCCAATGCCTAGTTGAGTTAATCATTATGATAAACAAACATATGTTTGTCTTAAAGCCAGACCATCATGAAGAAAATAAAATTTTATTTTCTATCATTTTATTTTCGCACATCATTAACTTAGACTAGAATGCATATTTATTTTATTAGCTTAATTAATAGTACGTTATTTAACTTTTCATTTCAGTGGAGTGTTCATCGATAGCAAATATTATTACCTAGGTCTTTTTGGGAAAGTGGACAATCAGTTCAATCCTAACAATAGATTTCTGGTACGTATCTGTCCTTTTTCAGTTTAGTGCTATGAGAATTGATTTTTTAATAAAAAAGTTATATTTACTACATAAAATTGTTGTTCTTTTCTGCAGGTTGCAATTCTTTCAATGTTTACGTTAATAACATTGTATTCAACCATCATACCTATATCTCTATATGTATCCATTGAGGTGGGATTTATAAAAAACAGAACTCATTCTGTGGTTTGTATTTCTTATGTCATTTACATTTTAATTTCTGCATTTTTATTTTTCAGATGATCAAGTTTATCCAGTCCACCCAGTTTATAAACAAAGATATACATATGTATCATGTAGAAAGCAACACCCCCGCATTGGCTCGTACGTCGAATTTGAATGAGGAGCTTGGACAGGTAATTGTCATCTTAGTAATTAAATCATTTAGGTTTCGGCTTCGGTTTGTACCTTTTCAGTTTATATATGTTCTATCATGCTCTATGTTAAATCGGGAGATAAATAAATTACTATCTGTTTGTAACTAGCTTAACTAGCTGCTTAACGCTTA